AAGGGCGGATGATGAATACCCACCCGGGCCACCCCTAACATAGATTCTCCAAGCATATATTATTATAAGGAAAAGGAGAGCCATCCTTCCGGGTCAGTAGTGCAGAAGGCCTTTGATTCGCGTTGAAGGATGCAGTTTCTAGGCCAACATGCTTTTCAACTGGGCACAAATGGAAAGTCAATGCTGTTGGTGAACTGGTGACTCCTACCGTCTTCACCCGAATAGAACGCCTGGTCATTATCGCTGCATCTAGAGTGAAAGTTGCACCAAATGCAGCTGTAATGACCGGACGTTCTATTTGGGTGAAGATGATGCGTCAAGGAGATGGAAGGAGGGGTGCTGACAATACAAGGAGAAGAAGGAAAACCAAACAACTCTTGTACAAGACTTCATCCACACAGGGATTTGGGATTCAAGATGTGAGAGACTGCTTATGAGAGGCTGGATATTATGAAGATGGAAGTGTTGTGGATGGTACAAGGACACAAAGAACAAAACCAAATCCTACGAAAAACCATGCACACAGGAACCGAGGACGTTCGAAAGGCTGCCTATGAGAGGCTGCACATAAAAGACTGCATATGAAAGAGTGCTGATGAAAGACTGCATACACACAGGGATCCAGGATGTAAGAACGTAAAAAAAAAAAGAAAAAAAAAAGGAGGGTGATGGCATTGAGATGTGAGCTGCAAAATCAAACTGACCAGCCCCTGGCCAGGTAAATTCGTAGTTATTTCCTCATCGGAGTTGATTGGGATTCGAACTGAGGTCTGTGTTTCAACAGTTCATTGGTGTACCAACTTCCAAGTTACCAACTGAGATAGGCCGATTGGTAGGGGTTGGTAGGGGATGTAATTGTTGAAAGGTTGACGGAGAAACGGCTCAGAAACCTTAAAAAGAAAAGTGAGTGAGGAACAGCATAAAGGAAGGGATATGGGCCAATCTCTGTACAGACTCGGTGTGAGAATTCGGAGGACCAAGATTCATAGGGGTTCCCAGCAAAGGGCTGGGAGAGAGAGGGTGGGTGAGTTGATAGCCAGGGCGGAGGGAGGAGGAACAATAATGTGGCATGCACAGTTGTTCCCACACAGGCCCCGTAGGGCCCGCTGGTAGGATTAGGGGTCCTTGGGGGGGGATTAGCAGGGTTAGTGGGGGGCTGAAGTGTTAGTTACTGGGTCGAGTTTAGGCCCATTGTCGGTTGGGGGCCCAGTTAGGCCAGCAGCAGTCAGCGTAGGCCCTGACACATTTTCGTTTGGGCGCCAGGCCATGGTTTCGTTTTGGCGCCACCAGTTAGGCCCAGGCCGTTTCAGGCGAATTTGAATTTTGGCGCCAGGTCCTTTCAGTTGAGGACCGCTGATCGCGAGCTAGATCGGACGGCCACCGGACGGCCATAGACCGAGAGTCTGGGAAGCTGAGGCCGACCCAGCGCTATATTTAGCGTGGTCCAGCTTCAGCTCGGTAGGTAGTTCAGGTTGTATTGAGGTAGACTTCAGTAGTTGACGCGCTAGGCGCCGTTAGCGTTAGTCATCACCGCCGGGCGCAAGGTTAGGAGTGGGAGCGCTGCAATCGAGCTGCAGTGGGAGCACAGAGAGAGAGAGAGAGAGAGAGAGAGAGAGAGAGAGAGAGAGAGAGAGAGAGAGAGAGAG